CTTACTTTGATGTAAGCCTCGTTGCAATCGTGGGGAATCATTTGCAGAGCAACTTGCCAAGGATCAGGTTTCTAGGGATGATGAAGGTAGTCCGCTGGCATCCCTCCAGTGTGTGGCATTTCCATGGCAACTGTGCAGCACACTTTTTGTCACGCTGTGCTGTTTGTCTGTGCACACCCAGACAGAGTTCTGAAGTTACAGCCCCAAAGGACAACACGGCTCTTCGGCTTGTTTCTTTTTTCTTTCACCCACCTCACACCCAACAGAGGCTTTGCAATTAAGACTGAGTGATGCATTTCAGCTCACAGATCTGCAGTGTCCAAGTGCAGCAAAAAACACAATAATCTATGGTAAGCAGAGTTTATGATTCAGAAAATAATGGACTGGAGCAGGACAGGACAGGGAAGAGACAAAGAGCACAGGTGTCTGTATTGTATGCACCATACTTGATACCCAACTATAGAAATTGACCTTCTTTTAGGAGAGATTCTCACCTGGTTCCATCTTTATGGCCCCCCAGACAAGGTACCTTGAACTGTTTCACAGTTTGGGTTGCTGGAGGAATTTGTGGGTCCACATTCCAGAGCAAACTCACTACTATTGATTTGATCTGGGAATGGAATATGGTCCATTCCAGAATCCGCACCCCTCCACAATCCTACCAGATGGTCCAAGGCCTGTATTTTAACTGTGCTTTCCCCAACCCCGCCAGCATTTCAGAGCTGTTGCAGAAGTGCAGCAGTTGCAGCATAGATTGAAGCCGGACCAGAAATCCCCCTACGAAGGACAGTGTTTTATGAGGTACCGTTCCTCACAGGAAATTTGTGCAGAAAAAAAGATGGCTTCCCCCATGTAGCAGAGGGGCCATTTTAGCCCAGCAAGCAGCTGCTGCATTTTCTAACAACTCCAAGCTGTTAAAAAGGCCAAAGTAACCAGTGAAGTATTTAAAAGGCAGCTTTGGGACCTCTGAAAGAATTCTGTATGGCTCTTGCGTGTTATACACACATGCAGCCTGAATCAGGGCTGAAAGGACTTACCATTGCTAAGGTGTAAAATACATGGACTAAGCTGAGGCCATTCTGTCCCTGCCTAATGCTGGAACTTACCATACCAATATCTGTGCTGCCTGCAACTGTTGACTGTTCTGATTTATTGACCTCCTGTTTTGTATATGGAGCATAGTGGCACTGCAACACTTTGGTATCCGTGCTAGATAGCATCAGAGGATGATAAAGAAATCCCAGCTCATGCTGCTGCAGAAGCTCACTGCATGATTGCTGTGAAATGGGTAAATCATTCACTGTGCCTTTTCTTTAATTTCTGTTGCATGATGGGACTCAGGGATGAGTGCCAATGGCCCCCTGAAGAGGCAGTTCAACTGCTGGCATTGACTCTTCTGCTCTAGCTAAAGGAGGTTTGGAGAGATTGGCAATTAGGTGCTCTTGGGAGAGCCTGGGAGTGTGTATTAGCCCTTTCCTCAAGGAGACCTGCCAGAGGTAAAAGTTTTGGGAGCCAGTGTGGTGTAGTGGTTAAGAGCGTGGGACGGGGACTCAGGCGACCTGGGTTCTAGTCCCCACTTAGCCAAGGAGTCAACTGGGTGACTTTGGGCCAGTCACAGACTCTCAGCCCAGCCTGCCTCACAGGACTGTTGTTTTAGGGATAAGACAACAGTCTTATCCCTAAAACAAGAGAAGAGCAAGAGGAGAATGCTGCAAGTTGCTTTGGGTTCTTTAAAAGAAAAGGGCAGGATATAAATGCCATAAAGAAATGAATAAAGCTGGCAGAATGCTGTGCTGATGTGCCGTTTTATCATTCCTGTAAAAGATCTTAGGAAAGGCTAGAAAGGAGTTAACTTCCATATACTTCAATAACTGAAAAATGGATGGGGTAGAGGAGACAATAAACTCCACAGTGAAAAATTTCTGGAGGTGTTAAGAACTTCTAATGCAATCATTCCCAGTGCTGTCAGGCAATGGATTGATGACTAAGTAATGCAGTTAGGAAACTGACAAACTTTACTTGTTTTGGTTTATTTTAAAAGAAAAGAAACATGGGAAAGATCTTCTGGTCTCTCTCTCTCTCACACACATATAAACAGCTAATTAGAGAAAGCTCAGTGGACCAGAGGGGGTATACTATGGAATTTGCAATAATTTCATGTAGGTCTTACAAAAAATAACACCGGTGGTTAACCATTGTACTGCACAATGGAAGAGCACAAAACTTGCATGAAGAGGATTCCAGGTAGGTTACCTGAGGTGCAGCAAGGCAGTGGATGTTGACATCGGCTCCCCGCCCCTCTCCTTGAGCCGATGCCAAGCAGTGATGGCAGCAGTGGTGCTTGCGTGTAGCAGGGCTAGGCTGACTGCCTGTTTCACCCAGTCTTCTTCCTCCAAGGTATCTCAGATTACACCACCAGGAAAAGCCCCAGACCATGCAAGCAGACAAAGAGGTACTCCAGCTTCTACCATCCTTCTCTGCCTAATAATAGATGTGCAGACCATTGAGACAGAGGCAGGCGATGTCGGCAGTGAGTGATGCAGCTTGGGATTGAATTTCAGGCATGGTGGCTGATGGGACATGTGTCAATCCTGACTTTCTTTTGGTAATTCCTAGTGTGGCATGTGGGGGGCTTCCAGGCTATCTCTGATCAAGGCTCCCACCAGACCCAGATCTAAGTAGATCTTTAGCTTCCTGCTTCCTGTAGCTTCACACCACACCCCCAGACCTGAATAAGGAGTTCTGCGAATGCAGTTATGCAACTCGTGATAGCACATGAGAAGTTGATCCAATGCGCTTCGGGCTCCAAGGATCTCTTTCTACAATGCTGCCCTCTTGTGTTTGTAAGCTTAACCGATTTTACCTCCTGCGCATGTTGGCATGTGTGCATTTGACTTAATGGGGAAGTATTTGGCTCACAGGGTACTGTGTCAAATTTCCTCTCCTCAAATGTATCTAAATTACAGGAGCCTTCTTTACTCTCACGGAATAATGGAAAATGCAATTTGTGTAAGAGCTACTGGCAACAATCTATCTTCACGCAGATGCGATTTCCATGCTCTGAATGAAAATGAGGATAATGTACTCCCCTGGGGTCTGCTGCCAACCCCTGAGTCGTGGTGAGGTTATCAAAGTTGCCGGGTATTTTCTTGGGTTTACAGGCAAAAACCAATCATCTATCTTCTTGGCATCAGAGACCAAATCCTGAGCAAGATTCCATTAGGAAGAGTGAGGCAGGCTCGTGGGTTATGCTATTCTAGTGCAGGTGCGAACATAACTTGACTGGCCTTGGGTACTATGTACTTTGAGCTGCAGTTACTGGGAGTTACTGGGGGTACAATCATTTGCTACTCCACCTCAGGCAGCGAAATGTCTTGGGCAAGCCTGAAATACATCCAACAGTGCATCTGGCCAGACCAGGTGAGTCCTAGCAATTTACAAGGAAGTATACAGACATACCTTATGCCTGTTGCTGACCTGGACCATCTTTTGCATGGTCTCTTAAGCTTCCTCAAGATCAACCCACAAACGGACAGGCAGCTGCAGGTTTTTAAGTGATGACCATATCATAGTGCCATCATGAGATTAAACGAATATTCCATGAAGATATTGGTACAAGCCATCAAAGTTCTCTGATAGGTCCCCTGATAGATCCACCACTGCTTTTATTTCTCCTAACTTTCATCAGTTTCATGACATGTTGTTTCTCTAATTACTGCCTGAGTATGAGTTTGGTAGATAGTAAAAGGTTGTCTCAGTACAAAGCATCTAAGCAGGGGTCTCAAGCAGGCCCCTCTCCCTCGGTCACTGCTCAACACGGCTTTGATGCAATCTTGTCCTGGATCAAGAGATGACAAGTACTCTCAGATGCTGCAGAATGGTGGTCAGATTCATTTGATCTGTGGAGTGGGATGAAAAATTGTCTTCGGGTACCTTAAAATATTATCCAGCACTGGCACAACACACAAAATGTCCAGGCTGACTTGGGATGATCACCATGCAAACAATGTGGGACAAGCATGTTGCTCAATGGTGCAATTCTTTCCGGAAAGTCCACTTAGGCATGTGATTGTAGAACTTTTTCTTGTTTATTGCAAAGTAATTCTTGGCAGATGTTTCAGATCCAAGGTATAATGTCCAAGGTGAATAAGTATTATATGAAGCCCATAAGTGGATGCAAGTGGAGTGGTCTGATTTATGCCCAATTAGCCTAACTTAAGTCTTGAATCAATTATTCCACCCTGCCTGATTTGTGAATTATTAATCTCAGCAGTTAATGTATGAATCCATAATAGTATGAGGTGATTACACACATACATTCGACAGTTTGCCTGTAACAGCAGCAGATCCTGGATTAACTAACCCAGGACTTGCTAGGATGTATGCCCTGTGTCAAGCTGCTTACAACCTCCAACCAGTGCAGCCAGAAGTTATCACAAAGACTAAACAACCTGGAGGTTAATCCAACAGCAAACCATGGATTAACTGCTAGATTTTTCAGTGGTCCAGGTTCTCACATAACTATGACAAACTCCAGTCGTACTAATTGGGGATTGTTTCCACTAAGAAGAAATGGCCTGCATCCTCACAAAAATTGAGTTAAAGAGCCCATCTTTTGCTGCCGTGGCATGCAGACTAGGTCACTTTCTGGATGCACAGCTGGGTCCAAAATGGGGTGTTTTCTTTCATCACTGCTTTCAATTCATGCTGTACCACAAAGAAAAGGCTATGCACATCTTAGATCCATGGCACATATTGCAATACAAGATGCAGACTTACAAACAAAAAGCATTAGGGAGAATCTCTGTAGGTGCAAATTGTATTAAGGTATTGTGTTCTCTCTCTCTCTCACACACACACACCAGAATTATTTAATACATGGACCATGAAAGTGCCTCACTTCCTCATATCATCAGTTGGCACTTTGTATATATTTGTGCTTGAGAATTTGTCTTCGATTGCCTATTATACAGTTCTGTTTCTTCTTTTTTCTGGTTTAGAAATTGTCCGAGCAATGACGCATGTCATCAATCAGGGCATGGCAATGTACTGGGGAACCTCTCGCTGGAGTGCCATGGAGATCATGGTAATGTAGCTTTTCAAAAAGGATCACTGGTGCGGCTGTATACATAGAAAAAGCACAATATCCTCTATGCAGTATGGAAAGTCCATTGCAATGCTGCTTCTAATTTGCGGTAGAAAATCAATGATGAGTAGTGCTAACAGAAGGGGTTTGCCTGTCTGGAAGCAGCCCCGAGGTTGGCAGTTCACTCCCCTTGCACTGTGATGATGACTGGGTTCAGGCAACATGGCAGCTCACACTCAGGGGTTGAGTGTGATTGTTACTGAACTGTGAACCATTGTTGAAACCTAGGTTATTGCACTGTCTGGACCCAGCCAAGATAACAAACCAATGACAGAACATGAGTTCTCACCATGGGTTGTTCGTGGTTAGCATAGCTTGGTTTAGTCAACACAGTAGGCCACAGTTCAATGACAATCCACAACCCATTATCAGCCTTTGAGTATGGGTTATCAGGTTATCTGAACCCAATCATTAAATGCTTGGAGAGGAGTGAGTGGTGACATAGATTAAAAGCGTGAGAGAATATTTATATGTTGCCAATTTTGGAATGAAGTGCAAAGCCTGTGGAATTGGCTCAAATATTAAACTTCTTGGGAATCCTTGCTTCATCTCCCAAGGCTGCAAAGGCGATGATCATAGCATCTGTTGAAGAATCAATAATGTATCAGAGTGATGCAGAATTGCTTGACACAAGCCTGAGAATGACTTAGAGGCTTGGCTTTGTATTCTGTATCCCCAACAGATGTACATTTGTTTGGCCACTTTGCAAGCCAAGAGCTGGTCCAGATGTGGTAAGAGCCAGCTGGATAGTATATGTAAAGCTGCTCATTTCAACAGTACAACATCAGGGACAGTGGTCATTGAAGAGAGCATCACTTCTTCTGTGTGCTGTGTTGGACATGAAGGAAGCAGAAATAGTCACCTTTGAAGGAAGGGAACATGCAGAAAAGAAGGACTGTCCTCTGAGGAGGACTGTCATTCTTAATACTCTTAACACAAGAATATCATGTACTCCATTTCTGATCCCCAAGTTAACACTACTTTACACTTAGCTCAACCCCTTGGATTGTAAAGTTTGCAAAATCTAGAACTAGGACTTTCATCACCACTTTTTATGAAATGATCTGGCAATTTGGTGGATTTATGTTTACGAAGATGAAAGAAAAAGTTACAAAATCAGTATGTTGCTTTACAAGAAATAGTGGAAGGCTTCCTTTATCTACCAGATTCTGATATATAAAAGGTAAGGTTGTCGCCCAGTTAAAGAACCATCAGAGTTCTTTAGTTCATTAGACTCTGATGGTTCTTTAACCTGGTTAACCATCAGAGTCTTAGACAATAAGTTAATTCACCATTAAGTCTACATACATTTTCATATAAGAAAAATAATTGTAAAGAACAAAAACATGCTTCATGCTTCCTTTGTGTTTTCCTGATGGATGAACGTGTGCAAGTGATGCTTGGCCACACAGAAGAGATGTTTCTTCTAAGATAAAGCTTGTCATCTGCAGGTTTTACACATACCCATATCAAAAATATTTTTAATTAAAAAATCTGCTGCCCAGTTAATAGTGGTGCCTTTTTAATTGATCAAAACACTATTAAACAGATAATCAAATGGATTATGCACTGCTGCTCTAACAAATAGACTTGAATTGTGCCCTGAGTCAGGAAGGGTTGATTTGATTAATGTGTCGCTAAATTTCCCCAGGAGACCCCTCCACTAATGTGCTTTTCTTTTGCTGCTGACCCTCCACAGGAAGCCTATTCTGTAGCAAGACAGTTTAATATGATTCCACCGGTGTGTGAACAAGCCGAATACCACCTTTTCCAAAGGGAAAAAGTAGAAGTTCAATTGCCCGAATTGTATCACAAGATAGGTAATGCCTGAAGACATTCATATTCACAAGGGAACGGGAAATGAGTCATTTGTATGCAAAGCATGTATCCTCAGAAATATTCCGAAACCCCTGCTGTTCCAGTCATTATCACAGGTACGGTTAGTCCCTTGACTGGAGCAATGATTCATCTGCAAAGAGATAAGTGACAGCAAATCTTTCTGTTTTCTACAGTGGATGACCTCTGGAACTTGTTATTATTAATTATAATCATTATTGTTTTGTTAATTAGAATTATTAATTAGTGTGCCATCTGCAGCCCCTAGTTACTGTCACTACTTATAGTTAAAGAAGTGGCATATGTAACAACAGTACCAAATTCCAACTGTTTTATACACACAATATGTGCTACGATGATATTCCAAACCATGACTAAGGGCCGCATCCAGAGTTGGCTGTATTCAGAGCAGATTTATTGATACAACTGGAAATTAAGGTAGAAGTTGGGTTTGTCTCATGACTAATGGCTGTGCTGGCTAGGAATGATGGCAGCTGCATTCCAACACATCTGCGGGACAGCAGGGGAGGGGAGGCGAGGCTGTCGGAGGACTCGATCCCTCAGAAAACAGTATGCATGCATAGGGCTGCAAAGAGAGGGGCCGCGGTGGTCTCATCCAGGCTTCTGGTAGGAGGAATGGGATCAGTGCAAACAGCCCATGTGTGAGATGAGCCCAAGGCAGGAAGACAAGTTGGGTATTTTCTACCCAGAGTCCTGCGGATCCATCTAGTGCAGCATCCTCTTTTTGCAATGGGTGACCATTGCAAGAAGCTCACAAGTGTCCTGCTATTGCAGTCCTTTGAAAATGCAGCTCTCTTTATTGAGACTCCACAGATAACAGAACACCTTGAGCTCTAAATAGGCTTCTATCAAAGCTGCATGGAGGAGCCTCTGTTCATGTGCAGAGTTGAATCCAGACTGTAAACTTCCCCTCTGTCACTCCCTTTTAATAAATCTTCTGGCCCCATCCTCAAAGTGACTTTTGCTGCTGGTGGGCAAGACAGCATGAAAGCTGAAGCCCCTCCAATTCTCTTGATGACTCTTTGCTGGGACAAGGACTAGATCTTGCACATGCTTAATCTCCAGAAAACCCTTCGTTCCTTCCAAAATAGGCTAATTCATGTGCTCAGCCTGAGAAATTTCTCTGAAGCCTTAAAGGCTTCCCTCCCCACCCCACACCTTGCTTCTCCTCCTGTTCGGAATCCGACGATGGCAATGGCAATGGCCACAACTCCCACCGCAGTGTGCGAGAGGCTGGCCCACTCTCTACACACTCTCCTGTTTATTTTACTTTCCTCAGAAATGCACTGCATTGCACTGATGATGGAAGCTTTACTGCAGACCTGCATGAATTTGCTTTATTTGCTCTTTAAAACCATCTAAGCTTTTGGCCCTCACCACATCTTGGCTCTATAAAAGTGCATTCCTAGGCATGGTTAGCCGTGGGGGGGGGGGGGAATCCTACAACTCCCAGCATGCCCCAGCAAGCATGTCTAGCAGGGGCACGCTGGGTGTTGTAGAACATTTTTCCTGTCTAAACTTGCCTGAGATTGTACCCTCAATTCTTTAAGCAGACCCCTGCTAGATCAGACCGAATGCCTGTCTGACTCAGCGTCCTGTTTCCCGCACTGGAACCAGATGCAGGACTTAGGGACTTCTTCTGCTGTGGTTCCCCAGCTGGTGGCACTCAGAACTGTGCCACCTCCAACCCTGAAAGCATGTAGATCTGTCGAGACCAGTAGCCCATTGCAGCCTCATCCGCATGAGTTTGTTTCATCCCCTTTTCCAGCCTTCTGAGAGCCAGTCCAAGCATCCTGCTGGTCATGTGGCTGCTTATTCCAGAGTAAGCATCCTCTTTACTCTGGAATAAGCAGGCATGGCCCCACTTGGTTCAGGGGGTTAAGAGGCTGGGAAATCTTGAATGCGCATAATGGCCCCCATTGTGCAGATGATGTGTATGTGCACTTGCATGAGCAGCTGCGCTTAAGTGCATATATATATCAACTCCACTGTTTTCAGATTGCCTAGCAATGTATACTCCTGACTTTGAAAGCATCTGCAGCTGAACTATGTTGCTGCAGAAGTGAAGTATTAAACAATTCTGCCTACCATTCCTCTCCCCCCACCCCAAAAAAAAAAAAAAAAAGAATTATACACGCAAACACATGTGTAATGGGTGCACTTGCAGAGGGAAAATGGGGAGGAAAGTTTAACACACAACTCTCCCGAAGTGCTATGGTCTTGACCCAAATCCAGGTCCATTCTGCAGATTTGCTGAACGTTTAGTTTTGGCCTAAATTGGTGAATATCACCACAACTGGCCCGTCTCAATACAGATTCCATAGGTTAACTATGATCTGTGTGAAGAAGCACTTCCTTTCATCTTTCCTTAATGCCCTGCAGGTCAGTTTCACTGGTTGACCCCAATTCTAACATTATGGGGTTAGAATTCAACTTTCTCCACACCATACATAGTCTTATAAATCTCTGTCATATCTCCCTCCCTGAGTATTTTTTCGAAACTTAACAAACAGATGATGTAGCCTTTCTTTACCAGTAATCCTTGTCTATTTGGGGTTTATATTTGGTTTTATTGAGTTATGTAATATATCATGCCCTGAGCAGCAGTAGATGAAGAAATGTTTGCCTGCATGTGCAAGCAGTGACATTACAGCATTCCATCGGGACTGACTCAGTGCCATTTTGTCTGGTTGGTTGGCTCATAGGTGTCGGCGCAATGACATGGTCTCCGCTTGCCTGTGGAATAATCTCAGGGAAATACGCCAATGGAATCCCTGAAAGCTCAAGAGCTTCCCTGAAGGTACTTTTCCCAAGGTCAAAAAAATGGTGCAGAAGGAAGGAGCAGAAACATAGAAACAGAGAAACAGAGCGAGTCAGAAGGTGCCTCCTGGGCCATCTAGTCTGACCCCTGGCTCAGAGTTCCTATGAAGTGGGTGCCTGTTTTAACCTCCATCTTCTCAGGCAACCATTTCTTAAATCATAAATTAGCCTTGTCCAACCTGGCTGGGGTTTTGCAGGCCAAGACCTCTCGAGGAGCCAAAGTTGGAGAAGGCTTTTGCAGATGAGGCCCTGCATACAAAGGCGACACTGCCGTGGTGGACTCAATCCCTGAAAAGCAACTGCTGAGCAAGGGCCTTGGAACTGGTTGCACTGATTGGTGAACAGGTTGTCTTGCTCATCACAAGTGGCATATCCAAGTACAAAAGATGTGTACTACTTCATCAAGGCTGAAGAGGACAGAGATGTGTTTTGTGGTTCGTTTCAAAAGGTGGACAAGGAGTGGTAAGGCCAGAAGGGGCTTCTCACCAACTTGCATGCATTTTTAAAAGGGAACATACTGAAATATACATGGGCTCTTCATACTCATTAAGCAATATGTGGATTTTATCTGCAGGAAATCAATGTTTGATCGCCCAGGAAAAGCAGCCCCACAAGTTGGAGGGGGTGGAAAGAGTCATGAAAAACAATATTTTCTTGTACACTACCAGGCCTTTACCAATGGAGACTATCTGGGGCAGGACAATTCTTTGCTTTGGAGCTGCATACAGGAAAATTAGGAGCACAGACTGGCTATTGGTACAGGATTTTTCTCAAGTACCCCTAACAAATGCCTTTCAAATACCCTTGAAGGCAGAAATAGGATTGTTTGGGCACTAACAGGTGAAGGAACATTCTTCCAGTGCTGGGTGAATAATGGTTTTAGGTAATAGAGCTCAAATTTATTGCAGCCTTTTGGGCAAACAACAACAAAACACTTTTATTAGTAGCAAACATTCAGATTTACTTGCAGCTGAAAAGCTATTTGTCAGTTGAATGCATGTTACTCTAATAGGACAATTCTCTCGTGTTTCCAGGGGGAAAGAATTCTTTTTATATTCTTTGGAGAAAAAGAAAGCAGCCTCAATACATTCTGAAGTAGGAAATGAGTGCAATGAAAACTACCTAGAAAATAATATTGAAGGGTTTGATCTATCAGAAGATCACCTTTTGCAGGAAAGAGGACAAAAGCAAATTGTGATTTTGTAGACTGATTTTTTAAAAGAGAAAGAACATTTGTCTATTGCATTGCCTGCTAAAATATAGATGAAGTTGCAGCATCAGGACAGCTCCTGGATCCATCTTAGTCCCAGACAGAATGAAAATCTAAGTGTGCTTCTTGCCATGGAAAAAAAATACCTTTACTGTAACTTCTGGTTTTCAAAAGATGAGAAAAGTGGATACAGATTCTGTTTGGAGAAGGTTCAAATGATCCATTTTTTAAAATCTCATCTCTTCTCGCTCCACACCTGTGGATTAACTTCAGGATGTTAGGCTGGAGAAGAGTACATGATGGGTTTCACAAAAGAAGAAGTACAGCCTAAGAGGAAGGCCTGGGGATATTTCAAATTCCCATTATTCTGTGGCTGTACATCGTTATGCCATATATGGATGCAATTAAACAGGTGGCCATGTGTAGGCTGCTATAATACGTCTAAGAGTAATTAACCACTGCATTAGCTATTCAAGATTATTAGAAGCTCTGCTACTCCCATGGTTCTGAGTAGTCATACGCAGGGATGCCAGTGCCACAGAATGGCTTTACTCGTAGCTAATCCAGTGCAAAGGAGCTGAGCCACCACCTGCCAGTAACGAGAGCCAGTTCCACCCAGTTCTTCATCCAGATGAAGAAAATGCCACCCTTGAAAAGTTGTACAGAAGAGGAAGCTCCAGCAAATTATTTGCCAAAATCCATTACAGCTATTGAAAGCTACAGAAGCCTTGTTCTCTGCTGCTTCCAGCCATTCTGAGCAACTTCTCTCTCCTGAACTGGACCAATTCTCAGATCAGTGAAGGGATGCACAGTTGGTAGTGCCAGGAAGGAACAAGTATAGAGCCAGCCCTGCCAACAGCCAAAGTGAAACAGCAGCCTTGGGCAGCAATTGCAGAGTTTGAGCCACCAGCCCTTGCCCTCTCTGGGAGGACAAAGTTGTGTGTGTGACCCAGCCCGCCTTGCATTGCCCAGCTGTGTGCTTACTGGGCTAAGGCCATCCACTGCGGTACCTGTTGGGGAATGCTGTCCTGTCTCCAGGACTGAGGTTTCTTCGCTGGCCAGGAAACAACCTTTCTTGGGAGATCCTGCCCTTTGATATACAGCTGAGACAAGTGCTTCTTCAACTGCCTTTTGTCTTCTCTGAACCTCTCAGATCAATGTTTCCTTTCCTTGTTCGGTTGATTGAATCAATTCGGCATATCAGCCACAAATTGTATCCAGAATTGCTTTTAAGCATTTTTAAAGGGAAAAACGGGACAAAATAGCCCAGAGACAAGAAGTGCCTTCCGGCACAGCCTGTTATCTATAACGTCCTGCACCTATGCCTCTCACAGCTGCCTTCTCTGACATTTCAAAGTATGACAGGATGTTACATTATGGTGGTGTGTGTTTGAAAGCAATCATCAACATGTTTCAGCCTTTAAGAAAAATCCATTTGCCCAGCTCTACAAATAGGCACTCAAAGGTTTCTTGCTTCGTTCAGATCCAGGAATGATCTGACATCTAACTATGAATTAGATGTATTTTGGCTGTGATCCAGCCCAGTGTGAGGTGTTTGTGTTAAGCTTACAGGAACCAGAGGGCTTTGGTACATAGAAATATGTGCCTGCAGTATGTCGGCAATCAATCCTTTCGCCATTCCCTGCTGCCCTCCCACACCTCACCTTCCTGCCCCTTTGGCAGGGCTAACATCAAGGGTAGAGATGGCTGGGCAACCGCCAGGGGAACAGAAGCTGGCAGGGCCCACTGACAAGATGCCCCCCTGAAATGTGTTCCTCCTCTTCACCATTGCGAAAGGTTCTGCTGCCTCTTGCTGCACAGCGGTGGCATCAGGTGCTTCCACTTGTCCATCAGGCAAGTGCAAGTGGCGATCCGAAAGGGGGAAAGTGGCTGGCTGTGGTGTTGAGAAAGCCGATTCACTGAAGGAAGGGGGTCTTGCCCCAGGGACAGCCACAACCCGTAGCCAGCGCTTGCTCTGCTACCTTGCTTGCAAAGGGCCTTGTTTTTCCAGAGGACAGACTGAAAGAAGTCCACAAGCTCTGCTCTTCAGCCAGAGAGTACAAGGGTGCTCTGAAGCAGCAGATCCCACCCGGAAGGGCAGCTCTGCTCTGAGCTAGTCTTTCTGTCAGACACCGTGGAAATCAGCTCTCCTGGGGTCGATTTCCCATTGCTCAGCTTTCTGGTTACTGAGCTAAGGCCACCGTGCAATGGGTATGGCCACCCCTGCTGGTCCAGGCAGGAAATGGTAGAGTTCCATCAGGGACCTCCCGATGCCCATGCTGAGCGCAAGGACTTGTTTTCTGATAAGGCTGTACAAATGGCAGTCATGCTACATGAAAGAAGAGCTCAGGGCTACAGTGTGGGGTTGATTCATTTCCTTGTGTTATTTCTCTACCTCTAGGCTGTTTTGTGTCATCTTTTACCCCTAAGCAGATTTTTTTAACCTTCATTTTGGAGAAGCTCTCAGGGCCATATTCTTATGATAGGCTGGCCCAGAGGCAAAGAAAGCAGAGCCAAAATGGCAGTGTGTTTGCACTTACAGCTGCTCTTACAGCCAGTCACTAAGGACTTTTCTGCATAAGGCCATTAATTCCTGTATCTACTTTACATTCAGTCGCAGCATTGAGCGCTGAACTCTTGACAGAGTTCTTGCCTTCCTCCTTTTCTGCCATGTGGCATCTATCTGGAGTTGTGCTGTAGCACACAATGAGAAACAGCACCATTTTCTTCATGTTAAAATGATAGCCCCTCTCTACAAATATCTGGGAGCATGCTCTGAAAAATCAGGAACAAAACTGGAGGGTCATGAAGTCATCTGAAGAGCCCACAAAGCACCAAGAGGAATCACAAGCACATAATCAGTGTGTCCTGTAGAAAAGTTCTATGCCTTAGGAAATACTGTTTTAGAAAGGGGGTAGATGGAAGGAAACCACTAAATACCCATCAGTCTGTGGAAGGGATACAGCCAGAGGAAGGAGTGACACATCTGAGGAACCCCTTATGTCTGGATTGGTAGTCCAGGTGGGCCGGATTTACTCTGAAATTCTGCACCCCTGACTTAAGCTATACCACTCTTAGTGTCATGTTAGTTTTTGATATGCTGTTGTGTTTTCCCTATTTGCCAGTGCTATCAGTGGCTGAAGGAGAAGATTGTGAGTGAGGAAGGGAGAAAGCAGCAAACAAAGCTGAAAGATCTCTTCCCAATTGCTGAACGCCTTGGATGTACACTGCCTCAGCTAGCAGTGGGTAAGAAATTCTGGAATTCCTCTCTTTCTCTATTCAGGTGTGTGTGTGTGTGTGTGTGTATCCATTTTACTTGGTGATGCCTGACCTTGCCTAGCATTGTGAGAATAACATGCAGAGGAAGGAACTATTTTAATGTGTATGAAAATTCTAGAAACTGTCACAGTGTAAAGCCCATTTCTCTAATTTTTCAGTGTTGGTAATGGTGAGCTATTTATGTATGTAATACTTTTCTGTGCTGTTTTCCAAGGTTGAATATAAAATACTTCATAGTGAAGCAGTGGAGGGGAGTAAATAAACCAGAACTATGCAAGTTGGGTCATCGTTTTTGCTGATTAATCAGTACTGATCGTATTTGGGTAGAAGCAACATCTCAGAAGTAAAAAGCATGCATCACTTGCTTTTAGATGTTGATGCATTTTCTAGCAAGCATCTTCTTCCTGGTGCAAGACACAATGGAGAATGCCTTTTGGGAGATGGACCTAGCCACCTGTAGTGTTTTTTAAGCACCTGTTTTAAAAACTATAGGGTAGATCCCAAGGTGGTATCCAGGGATGACATTCCGTAGATTCAACTGGGACTAGCAGAGTCCTGGTGACCTTTCTGCTACATAAAGGATTATGCTTGCACAAGCAGGGTGTGTAACCATTTTCACAACGCTGCTTATGCAAATGTTGGATGCTTCTCTTGTGCATACTTCACAGAAGCTAGTTTCCACTTGTTTTGCTTTTTCATCTGCTGACTGTTTGATTCTGGGCATCCTTCAGCAGATTAAAGATTTTTAGTCAATTAGTCAAGTTAGTAATAAGAACTTAAACATTCAGCCCTAATTGCAGCACAAAACGTCATGTCAGATACATTATCTTTTGGACAGAGATACCCAGGTGGAAATCCTATGGGCCCTAGACATTTTCTGTAGGAACTCTGGGATCATTCAAATACTCTTTTCCAAGGTCAGAGTCAGCCCTCTAACCTCAGAGCAGAGAGAGTACAATCTGTCCCGTGCTCTTCCCACCCTCATAGCCACTACAGAAAAAGTCACACCAGGTGCCTTTCCGAGGTTGGGAAGACAACCTTGGAAAGGTGTGGGGGCGGGGCGGGGGGGGGGGAGCTGGACTGGCCAGGATACAAGCTATTCTGTGTCCTCTCCAACCTGCTGAAACCAGTTTTCATGGTTCCTAAATCTTCAGAGATATCTCTTTATCAAGAGCAATTTTATATCGCTGCCCTGAGACATTGTGAAGGGCGGGATATAAAAGCTTTAAATAAATACATACATTTATAAGCAAAGGGTTCTAAACATTATTTGGAAATATGAAGTTGAAATTGGCCCTAATTTTTGTTCATCCTTTTTGTGTTTCACTTCCACTGATCCTCACTTTTCTTTCTCTTTAAAAAAGCCATGGGCTAGATAGCACTGCAAATAGTGGAGTGATCTTTACAAAACAGGACACAGTAGTGACCCTGCAACCTGGGTCATTCAGGGCAAAGTTCAATATCTTGAGCCGCTGGTCCTTCAAAGATTCCCAGTATGCTAGTTCTGTGCAGCATTTTGTGTTCTGTGGCCCATTCAATCAGAACACAAATCAACCGTTCCGTTGACCCAGTGAGGCCTTGAGCGATATTGTTAAGGATTTTTTCCTCCATTTAAATCCCTAAAAAAGCATAACTTAAAAATAAATTTCCCTTGCAATACAGCATGTTGCAAAGGGTATATCCAAACTGACACTTCATTCTAGGCTAGCTTTCTGCTTTGGGGCACTGTGACTTATAATTAAGGGAGCAGTACTGAAGACTAGTAACCATCCAGATCAGAAACTTGTAAGAACAGGATTCTAGGGATCTTGAGACTACTCCCCCTCTGAAATTGCATGTATGTTCTGGAGGAAGATCCCTTACAAAGAAGGTATGCACAGGGGTATAAACAGGGTGGCCACCCATAAGCACTTAATGGCCTGAGCTCAAAATATTTAAAAGCTTTTTCTGACCTCTAGTGGCTTTTTTTCCGGGGAGAAAATGCTTTAAAAGGAATTGGTCTATCTATAAAATGTTGGCAGTGGTGTTTGCCCATTTGGATAAAATTCAAAACAGTGATTATTTTCACTGACCAACTTAACAGCTAACCAACTGACCAAAAACAAAAGTTGCAAAACAGTCATCAAGCTTTATAAATCCCTTTTCTGCTACATCAAGTAAAAACAGCAGTGGGACGTGTGGGTTTTGAGGGCACACTACAAGACCTCCAGGATAGACCATGGAGTAATTGGAGAATTAAAATGGAAACTGTTCTTCTATGACTTTTGAGATTATATTTCTGACTGATGGAGCAGAACAGTAATGGATTACTTTGGGAGGTTGTGGCCTCTTGCACACTGGAGACATTCAAGAGAATTGTCACATGTCAAGGATGCTTGGACCTGGAGTCCTGCACTGAGCAGGGAGTTGGATACAATGTCCTTCTAGCCCCTTCCAGCTCTACTGTTCTATGATGTGAATGCGCTAGGGTTGTGGTGTGGGTAGAGGAAGCGGGTCTTGTTACAAGTAGGTACCGGGGAGGCCAGTATTAGGGCTAAGTCCCAATTGTCTACAGAATGCAAATGTGCACAGAGTCATCCTAGATACAACCTCGACTCCATCATCTTTAGGCAAAAGCAATCTCCAGTTTTATCGACAACAGCAACAAAGCTGGACTGAGAATTGCAGTGGAATAATCACGAGGATTGCGTGTGTGCATTTCCCCCCTTTAATTCCTCTCCTTGCCACATGCTTCCCTTCCAGCAGCTGCACAGCAGTGATTGACTCAGGCTGGTGAAATATAGCTAACACAGCACAGGAATTCAAGAGGCCATTAATCATGTTTAACTGTGCTGTCATTTTCTGCTTTGGCAAAGATACAATTTAAATGTTTCATATTGATGATGTGGAGCGGAGAAATGATCCTATTGAGTTCCAACAGCCTTCAGAACATCACTTCCAATGCTGGCAAGAGTTTGCTTTTTGTTTTTATTAAACAGTCCATTCAAGGCTGCGTTTCTAAGTTGGGGATCCTGTTTCACCATTTTGCAAAACAGAAAAGGAAGAAATGTCTCATGATTTGCAGTCAGTGAGAAAATGACAGTTCTTGACAGCACCAGAAGTTGGGTGGATGAAGCAAGTCACAGAATGCAACTGCATAGAATAAGCTTCAGTTTACCTCTCACCCTTTCCTTTGATCTAATAATTTTATCTAAGTTTATTTGCCCAAATACTTTCATCCCGTTTTTCCATTCATATGGAGCCAGAAAGCAGTTTATAATTCACCCATCAGTAATTTTTAAAAGGAAACATTTTATGTAATATAATCATAATTACTAATAAAGTATCAGTTAGCAATTTTTAAAGCAGCAAAAACCAGATGCCAGTTTTCTGTAGGAGCCAGTAGGTAATTTGTCCAAGAAAGAAACATGTTTCACTGGACACCTGAAACTGGAGAGGATGGACTCAGGTCATAGAATTCACCAAATGGGCCCCACCACTGAGAAGGCTATGGACCTTCATATTTCAACAATGATAGGCTATGGAGTTGAACTTCAACTAGTTTTGCTTTCACTAAAGAGCTAAGCCTAAGATGATGATGTGCCTCATGATCATCCACATCTGTCCAAGCATGGAATAATTGCCCAGTCAAAATGCACATGTTGCCCATTAATGCTGGTGTGGGTGCTGCTTTATCCACGTGAGTTTTGCAATTTGTGAAGCAGTGGCTAGCTGCATGCAGGATTCACAGTCGTTCCTATGCAAAAGAGAGTTCAGTATGGTCAAACAGTGCATTCTTTTGCTAAAAACAAGTGCCTAACAAATAAGGGTTGGGCACATAGCAACACTGAAATTTATGAAACTGCTCTAAATGTGTACCTGAAGAGAAACTAGCCTTCCCCAGCCTAATACCCTTCAGATGTTAGGCCACAACTCCAATCATCCCCAGTCACTATGGCCACTGGCAGGACGATGCTGAGGCTGTCTTGGATGAAGGACTCCCAAAGCTGAGAGAGGCTACCTGCCTGCCATTTGGAGGCTGGTTGCAGCATGCTGGGAATTGTCGTCCAGCACAGCTGGAAAGTATTAAAAATTGCAGTGCAGCATAACCAAATTTGTCTCTATTCTTTCTTTAATGTGCAAAGCACCACACAGTTTCTTACCCTGGTGTCAGGTGTAGCCCAAGGCATTTGGAGCCAACAGTTCCATGTGCGGAAGCTGAGAGCACTGGCAGCTGACGCTTCCTTCAATGACTGTAATGGGAACACCATTCTCCACTACTCTTGAGGTCAGCAAACCTGTATAGGCAGGGCAAGGCGGGCAGTGTGGCATGTGCCCACCTCTCCCCTCATTGCGTTGAGGCTCTGGAGGAATAGTGAGAGGCTGCTGTGACGGAACTGCCCTTCAGTGTCTGCAGCCTAGGACAGTTGTATTGCTCTGCCTACTGGCAGAGCCAACCCTGCAGGCTACCCAAAAGTGCTGCAAAGCTTGTGAATGTGCTGCATCCTGATTTTCTGGCCCATTGCCTACAAAGCTTCCCATCCTGAAGCAGCCTAATCAGCTCAGCAGAGAAAGTCACAACAGATTCAAATGAGTTTGAATTTCTATGAATCCAATCTGCAGACTCTAGACATCAGACCAGCTTCTTCAAAGTCATGCAGATTCAGCGGACTGGGTTTTTTTTACTGTTGGGGGAAAAGGCTGCACATGTGCACAGTTGTGCTAGCATAGATTTGGACAATTTCCTCATGCAAAATTCCTAATCTGGCCAATGAGCAGACACCAGAAGGGAAGACATCTGACACAGTGCAAAACACAAACAGATTTAACAAAAAATGGTGCGTTTCTCATCCTGACTTCTGTATGAGATGGGATTCTGGCTATTTAATTCACCACCTCACAACCAGCATGGTGAATACTGCGCTTTCTGTATTCCCAGCATGGTGTCTACGTAATGAAGGTGTAAGTTCTGTTCTCCTTGGATCTTCCAATCCAGAGCAACTAATAGAGAATCTTGGTGCCATACAGGTAAGTATAAAGCTCTTCTCTGTGATTAGCTAAATGATCTTTATTTTTTATTTTTTTGTAAATTCAGACCAAATACATCTTGTAGCTTAAAATTATCACCGAATTCAGCTGTTCTTCAGAATTCAGCTGTTCCCTAGCTAAACCAAATGTATGCTTGTTGTGTCCACAGGTTCTTCCGAAGATGACTTCCCACATTGTGAACGAGATTGATAATATTTTGGGGAACAAGCCTTACAGCAAGAAGGACTACAGATCCTAATGCATTGCATGATCAAACTGGGCTGCATGGCTAAAATAACGCTCTGTACATAGTACAGTACTGAGTCAAAACTATCCAGTTATAATTAGAACTATTCAGTAGTCTCTGTTGTTTACTAGATACTTCAAGGTAATGCGCTCTGCCAAAATTCAGGAGCACAGCTGATCTCCCTAAACAACTGAGATCATCTCTGCTTTAAAAAAATCAAGACTCAAGTTTTGATTCAATTCTCAGTCCATGGGCAGAGCTCAGTGGGAGCTTCTCCTGTTTAAGCTTCACTGGGATGAACAAGCTATGCACGGCGTGTGCTGGCATCCATGTCAACAGAGCATGTGCAGAAGAACATCCCACAGGGCCATGCCCCACCATTTCTTACTTGTCCTCTTGACATTTCCTCTTTATGCAGTGAAAATACACATGTAAAGTAACAAAAGATTTCTAAGCTTTAGCTACTTAGAAATTAAAAGATGGATGTACAGATATATTTTTTCAATGAATAAAAAGCCAGATACAGAATAAATGCTTAGGATAAAGACACATTACAAGACAATTTCACCCGTAAAGATGCTTCACGCTTTCTCAAGGGCAAGAAAGTTCAGATTTTTTCCAGTTTCACTTTATTATGCTGAATTGAGTTCTAGATAACTAGCCTAGTTTAGGCTCTGGCTGGAAAAGGGCTTTCCATTTAAAAGTAGAAAACATAGTTAAGAAATTGCAGCAATTTGCATTTGCACCTGTCATTTTAGGGACTGACTGTGGATTGATGTTAGGGACTGACTGTATCTGGCACTTCCGCATTCCTTAGCAAGGAATGCTGGGGGCGTGATCTAGCCAAAGCTAATGAAAAGGCCTGTGAAAAGCAGGAAAAGGCCTACACATTTTGCAGGCTTTTTTGAGGGGGGTGGTTGTTTTTTCATCTACACAGACATAGGATCATACCCTTAGTCTCCGATCTGCTATACACTTACCTGGGAGTAAACCCTGTTGAAACAGTGCGACTTACTTCTGAGAAAACAGTCCAAGGATGAAGATTAACAACGCAATCAATCCTGTGCGTGTCTACTCAGAAGTAAGCCCTCTGAGTTCAGTGGGCGTAGACCTGGTAAGATGGCCAGCCTCAGCTTATAAGCCTGCAGGCAGGGATTATCTTATTTTTACTGAACATAATTCAGCTGTTTTAGAAGCTATGCTTTACACTCCCATTGAAACAAAAGAACTAAAAATGCTTTATTTTGATCTATAATGCAAACCGACAATTAAAAGGGAGAAGGGCTGCAATCTTTCTGCTTTATTAGAGGCAAGCACCAGTAAAACATTTACTTCAAATTCAAGATGTTTAAGATCAGGCCTGAATGAGTAACAGAATCTTAGCTAGGTAAGAAGTGAAAACAGTTGAGACAGGGAAAAAATTCTGCAGTTCCCAAAATAGCTGCTGGCAGCATGCTGGATGTTGTAGGATTTTTTTCCATCTATGATTGCACCCCAAGTCAAATTAGGATCAAATTTACTGTTTCTACAATGGAAATCAACATGCCACAATTAGATACTCTTTTATTAAAATGTGTTTTGGCTGCTTGTAGACATAGCTACTGCAACTTTACTTATTTAAACTTAATATAATGTATCATAAATGTATATAATGTGCAGTTGTACAATTTTTTGAACAGCTATCCACCAAGGTGAAAGGTTGCATTTTCTGTCCCTTGTGCTGGAATCGTATAACTTTAGAAAGCCCATTTTTCAAGAACTTCATCAGAACCCTAGGAAAGATGGTTTGCCCAATTCTCTTCCCACTGCTGCAGTTATTAACTGTATGAATGTTATCACATGGACTTAAGCTCACAGTTCTTGTCTCACCCATGTCTGCCATGATTTTCAGTCATCTTATGCTGGCTAAAAGAAAGAATCAACCAGCAATGAGCACAATGAGTGCATGATTGAAGTCCATTCTCAGTTTTATGGATCCACCTGTAGGTCACATGCCAAAATTGCTTCATTTGCACAATACTGTCTTTTTGTAGCAGTGTGGCTAGAAGTCAGTGTATATGCTGACTGAAAGCAGGAAGTGCCACATGTGAAGAATTTGCATCTGCCAGTCCTGACAGTCTACAGTGTGTATGTCAGAGATTTCAGAGTCCACTCTGAGTTCTTAAAAATAATTTAGAACAGTCGTAAGCTGGGCTGGAGGACAATGCAAGTAGAAAGATTTACCTGGCACTGCTTACCTGATTGTATTTGATTGGGAGAAGCCCATTTTGGTGGAATCCCACTGATGTGTCATTCTAGATATTATTTCTGCACTTTACATAACTTTGGAGTAGAAAGCATCATTTTGGTCCAGAAACAAAGCACCCCTCCCAGTCCTACTTCCATCTCTTCTTGATCACGGGCTTTCTTTGGCCAAAGGGAGTTAGCTTTGTTAACAAATCTTACATTTGTCTTTGTTGCCTTTGCACAGAAGAGGCCCACTGTGATGATTTAAGAACCAGAGTTCTAAAAGATAAAATTGCATGACTGAGTGGGTCTCCTTAGGGTTACCAAGTCAGGATAGGAAACACCACATTTCTTTGCAATTCAAAAATCTTTTATTTGGTTCCATGCAGGTTCAAGACCAGAAGACGGAACAGCAGACACTAGTGGTGTAATCCTATGCATCTTTACTCAAAAGTAGGCCTCAGTGGGACTTGCTTCCAGGTAAGCAAGCATAGGATTACAGCCAAAGGCCCAGCATATTCAAGTATTATAGCATGTTGAGTACCCACTACCACATAGAAATGACCTCCTTTCTACTGCTGAACATTATCAGCCATGTTATTTCAGATTACCTTTGGTGTTCACCATATCACTGTTTTGCAGATAGGAGTCTGGATCTAGGCAAGTGATCCTCAGACCAAAACCTACTTTTATGTATAGTTTGCCCTTGCTGGCTAAGAGCAAATGGTCATACTCCGCATGCACGAAGGCTTCCAGTTCCTGTTTGTGAAAAAAAATATTACACTCCTTTGCAAGTGTATGCTACCCCTGGTCTGGGTGCAAAAGCTTCCTCTGTTCATTTCAATGGAAAGAGATCTACACGTTTTTTTAAAACCAAAGATTTGTCCAGACACGGAATCTATCAGAGCCTTACTTACATGGAGCTCTGGGTTAAGGCAAAGTGCATTTCTTTCTCACAGGGTCCAATGCCTAACTGCAGTTTTTGAATTACAGCCCTTTGATCAAGTATGTCCCTTGTATTTGACTTTTTTCATGCTATGGACAGAACTTAACTACAGAAGGCACTGGAATTTTAAGGGATATAACCTTTCACTTTTAATGTGGTGTAACAAAATCATGGTCTGTATAAATGAATCCAGCTGCTGTATAGTAGGAACTGCTTTCTATTTCTGCTTGGACAAAATAAAGGCGTTTTATGCACCTAACTTAATTATGACTCTTGGTCCATTCAGCTGAAGCAGGGAGTGGGGGAGCCTACATTCTTTTGATCAAAACAGCACTGTCTCCCTGATTTATTGTAATCAGAATTAATTCATGACTTTTTCCAAAGTGAGTGCACATTAAACAAAGTGCATGTTACCAAAAAAAGAACTGTCCATTCATCGAGAATACTGGAGTGCTGAGGGGAATTTTTTAAGTGCACAATAATATATGGGACAGACAGTCACTGGAATTTCAACAGTAAGTATTAAGCTATTTTACTAATAAGATGGGGGTAAGAATAATTTGACACATTTGCCAGCAGATTTGAGGTTTTTCTTCACATCTGAGACTTATGGGGTCAAGCATTCTGTTCCCACATCAGCCAACCAGATGTGTATGAGAAGCCCGCTGGCAGGACATAAGCCCACCTCCCCAGTCATATTTCAACTTTCTAGGGAATAAGACACTTCAAAGATAGTGGTCAAAGGACTGTACTTTCTGGCTACAATCATATGCCCACTTACCTTGGAGTAAGCCAAGGTAATTGAGCACAGTGGGACAAATCCAATAGGATTTCATGTAGGAGGCAGAAATATATCAAGAGTACATTATGTCTACAGGACAGACACACAGGATTCTTTTAAATCTTTTATTCAGACATGGTTACAAATTGCCATGGGATAAAGTCACTGCTCACAGCCACTAGGATAGATTCGCTGACAGATAAAGGGAACAAAAGATATGTAGCAAATGTTTACCTTCCGGAACTCCAGACATGGTTTGTGTACCTCTCAATTGATATTTCTGAAAACTAATATTCCACAGATGTTTTATCTGTCAAAAATATTGTGAGATATTTCACAGGACCAGAGCATTCATCTAGTTATGTTATTTTAAAAAATAATAATCCCCATGTCCATCCCATCTTCTTGTAAAAAAGAACATCATGTTTTCAAGCTATAGAAAAACACCATCTCCTCTATTTCCATACAGCTGTATGCAACTGAATATCCACTGTAACAATTTCTTCTATTTTGAGCCCGTAGATAGCAAAGCAATCAATCCAGAAGAAGCACCGATGGAGAGGATATAGTTTCTGAAAAAGCAGCATGTCAAGGACCAAAGACAGACACCTGGGAAAGTATGTTTGCTCACCAACTATAACTGCTAAACAGGGAGAGGCAAACTGGGAGTTGTAGGCCAAAACAGCTAAAGGGCCACAAGTTGCCTACACCTTGCTAAAGAAACAGGATAAAACAGTATGTCTAGAGGCAGCTTCTGTGCCCAGCTCTGGAGCCGGTAGAAAGGGAAATGCTGGCCTCATGCAGAAGCTCTAGCAGTGCTATCAAAAAGGCATTCCTCTGAGCCTGGCTCAGAACAGGCCTCCATTTCTGGATCACTGCTGGATCTGCTAAACAGACCCAGTTTGCATGTCACAACAATCCAGAAAATTGTGAATGAAGTCCTGGATTGCTCTTGGATATTCGTGTGATCTCGGATATTTGGATTGTTGGAGGAGACACAACCCCAAGTTATTAGCCATGATTAACTAACAGGTAACAACTTTAGGTTGCCTCTCCCCCAGAAACAGAAAACCCAGTTCACATAACACACTTAACCCAGGGACAGGTTGCCACTGAAAGCTTGTTTGTTTTAAAATCTCCAGGAAGTATGGGCAGTGGAAATCAGCAAGCTTCAGCTGCTTCATTTACAAGAATCCCAACTTTTAAAAAATGCTGAGCTGTTGTGATACTGAAACTGTGCCACAGTAATTACACTGCAATTACTGAATGGAAGATTGTATTTTGTATGACATTTGCGATAGAAGCATTCCACAGAACTAGGGATGAATACTTGGAAATATGAGAACAAGGAACATTTTTTTAAAAGGTAGAGAATGAAAAATCCAGAGTACCTCCACTGCAGTTAAAGCTTTCATTCCCTAACTCTGTAGCTGGCTTCCAACAAAGAAGCATCACAAGGAAGTCCATATTTATAGGTCTACAAATGCTGGAGCAAAGTGTTCTTTGCTTTTGTGTTTCAGTGTAAGCTGCATCATGGTGACCATCACCAATCTGCTCTATAGACACTGAAGCATGTACAACTTATTGGCCATGGAAGGCTATCTCCACAAGAGATTTATCTGATGCCTCTATCTAGGAGTCTGAAATTTGTGAAAAAAGGATACACAGTGGGATTGAAGTTCTTCAACACAAAAAAGGAGGCAATAATTATCAAAACCAAGAATAGCGTATTGTTGTAGAAGATAGAGAATGTAGTTGCTTCATAATCTGCCACTTCATTCTTCTTCCACAAAATTCTGCAGAGGAAAAGGCAGTGTTTCATTCTTGTGCAGGATAATAACGTTAGTATATTAGAACCCTTCTCCATTGAAGAATCTGGTTTTTCTCTACATTCCAGTAAAACAGATATTGGATTTCCTACTAACAAAGAATAAAACATACAAATCTGGCCCAGTCTCATGTAACTAGTCCAGGGCTTTGAGTGAAAATGCAGGAAGAAGTCCATAAACAAGCCTCAAAGGATGGAGCTGTCACCCAAGTGCAATCTTTCATATCACAGAATTTTTAAAAGTTCTTGTCTGACAACAGAAATGGTTTGTCCGAATGACACCCTCTTAATGGGCTTTGTTTCTAGTTGTTAGGCCCGCTATCACCTTTCACAACAAGTCTTAACAAAGCAAAATGATGTTATGAAGAATGGAAAACTTGGCTCTGCGAGCTAATCACCCATTTCAAGCAGCAGTCGCCAAGCATCCAGCTCAACACCACTGAAAGGCCTGTTTGCAAAGCAAATGCTTTAAAAAAAGCATTTCTATTGTACCAAGTTAAATAAAATAAGACGTACAGAGATTCTATAAGATAAAACAAACACCAGATTGCTTAAAAAAGAGCAAAACACTGATCAATGATAATTGAAATACTACTGACCAAAACCATCAAGTCGCAGATCCCTGAGTCAGGGATATGTAAACTGGAGGGAATCAACAAGCCAACTGCAGACACACTCAAACCCAGAGATAATTTCCTTTTATGAGAAGGATGGAACTCGGAAGTCCTGCAAATAAGGCTCTATGGCACTCTGGAGTTACATGGCATTACCTCTCATCCTTCTCCTTTCGTGACATCTTCCTATTGTCTGCTTCAGAAAGCTTGCGAGTTACTTCTTTGGAAACAGCATCTTCTCTCTTCTGGGCTACTCTGGAAAGCAAAGCATTTACATTACAGATTTTTATGGAGCGTTCTGAACAAGTCTGAATAATTCTGAATCAGTTGCTGTCATTTTTGGAGAATGCCATCCCACCACAGAAGAGCTTTGCCAGGAAACATGCTTAGTAATGTGGGGTGACAATCTGGTGCTGTGCTGGGCTGAAATTGTTGAGGGACAAGGTCAGCAAGCCTAATCTTGCATAGCTCTAATCAGAATCCAAGGAGGGGTAGACAGCATCTTCCATTAGCTAAGGAACAATTACTGGGAAGATTCTATTGGTTGCAGGATATGTCAACACACCCACTGGGGTCAAAGCAGCAACAAAATCCTCTCCCAAACAAGAAAGCCATCTTGAACTGTCATCCTATAGTCCTGGGAAAGGTGTCCAGTGGGTTAGAGATCAGATGTCCCTCTCCAACATCTGAAACTGAGCTCCAATCCAATCTCCCAACCCTCCAATCTCCCTGGCTCACACAAATACCTGTAGCTCTTACCTCCCAGACCTTGGTTTTTGGGCAGATCAATGACATGACATAATCAGAATCAAGTGTGTTCTGAATGTGCACTATTCAAGGTTCTTGCAGTCAGCCATTATGCCCCCATGGTAGAACATCTAGCCCAGCTGGGGAAATAGTCTAAATGTTTCTCTTATGCATGTTCACAAGAGAAGGAAGGAAGCAGCTCAGTCCCCTTCTAATCTACTGGCAGGAGCCTGGTAGGGCTTTGGGAAGGCTGGAATAGTTACACCTTAACATATTTAGGCAGGACAGTAAGACTGCTAACCCCACATTAATAGGAAATACAGGAACAGCTTAATTCTGGAACTGTCCTATTTCAGGGACCCTTCAAAATACAAGTCTGAGCATCTTTCACAAGTTTTTAACCATCAGAGTGAAGTGACCAGAAGAATATCATCAGTATGCTTTACAGATTAGTACTTTGTTATAAGAACAGTATATATTTAGACATCAACAGGTAGTGAAACAAACTGTACAAATGCTTACTTGTGTTTAAGAACAAACTTTACGTTCTTGTAAGCAAAGGCCACCAGGTATGTACTGACAAGGGTCATTACACTGTAAAGGACTGCAGACTGAACAAGATCCATGTGCCATATCCTCCAGTACAGCCCTGGGGAGAAAGATTTTTTTAAGATGGTAAACATTTTTAAGCCTTCACCATAAGTTGTACAGCAGACCAAATTCAGATATTTAAGATGTTAATGGCTAGGTGCATTAAAGACATTAACCTTGCCCATGCATTCAAATCATTTCCAGAGTATGTACTTGTATGCTTTTGTCTAATCTTTCTATAATCCTACTGTAATTAGGTTTTGTAATTATACATTTATTACCTTGCCACAACTTTGAAAAAGGCAACAATCTGGCCTTGCAAGTAAGATCTTGTACAACCTTGCAAGTACAAAAAGTACAATCTGGACTTGCAAGTGTGCTTTTAGTATTTGCCCTTAATAAAGTCCAACAGATAACATAATGCTAAATTGACAACAAAGTGTTCTACAGGCTTGTTCTTCTGCATGTTAGTTCTTATTCTCCCAGTTTGTTTATTGATGCAATCCTTGAATGTATTGTGAAAAGTGGCCCATTCACAGCAAACCAGCAGTCATTTTTAGTGCTACAATGGATGGAGAAAGTACCAAAGGACTTATAGAAACCACTGCCAGATTGCTGCTGCTCTATCCTTTGGGTGTTTTGTTTCACCCATTTTTTACACAGTCACTGGGCATGTACACAATTATGAACAACTTCAAAAGAGTGTGGAGTTCATTGGGAGCCTGTTTGTTTTCTTTGCTACACTCTAACTAGTCATTTATCACAAGAGAGATGTAGCAATGCCATCTAGTGGTCTCTTAGATCCTTCATAAAAGTTTATAACCTCTTTTGTTCCTTGGATATGCAGGTGCTACACTGCAACTTTGAAGCAGCGTCTATCCTTGGATATGCAGTTGCTACACTGTCTCTTTGAAGCAAATCAACTTGCTATCACCTTCAGCCAAACCTTTAATCGTTTTCAGCAACACTGTAATTCTGCATGGAACTAAAGTATGTTTTGTATGTTACCAACTGTTCATCTTTTCTCCCACTTTTAGTATTCACTGAGCTCATAAAGTTCTCAGCATGCTGCACCAAGTTCTACTTTAAATATTGCACAGAATTTATAATGGCACATTGTCAAAAGCATGGGTAGGAAACCCACAGATGCTATTAGACTCCCACTCCCATTAGCTGCAGCTTTCATGGCCAACGACCAGGGACAATAGAAGGGGGAGTCAGGGGAGTCCTGAAGGACCACAGCCTCCCCAGCTCAGATCTAAAGCCTTCAGTCCTCTAGGCAAACATAATGAACACCGTGAATTACTGTTTGCAAAATGTGTTAGCAACATTCTACCACTTCTGGGAATGTTATAGAATCCACTTTAATATCAAAACACAGCTGCTCCAAGACATGAAGCATTCAATGCAGAGGCACCCTAAGTTAACCTCAAGGGGCAAATCTTAAAACATGTTTTGCATGGATAAACTCCCAACTCCAGCTTAAACTGTGGCCCTCTCCAAGTAACATACTTCAAGTAACAGAACTAACAAAGTCCCAGGAGTTTAGAGATGCTGCCAGTTAGGTATGCAGGCAATACTGAATCAAAGGTGAGATCTCATGTGTGTTTAACTCAGCATTCCCCAGCCAATACATTATTTTGTCTAAACACACATAGGATTGCACCCCAAATGGTCAAACATTAGCCAGTGTGGAAATCTGGGTTCTAGTCCCCACTTGCCAATGAAGCCTGCTTGGTGATTGGGCCACTCACAGATTCTAAGCCTAACCTTCCACACTGAATTGTTGTGAGGATAAAATGAAAGAACGGGTCACGTAAGCCACCTTGGGTTCCTTGAAAAGGGGTGGGGGGGGAAGGAGAGCAAATGGAACAACAAATTTTGAAATGGTTTGTCTCAATATAAAGAAGTTTCATTGATGATATACAAAGACTTCCAAACAGCAGCAGATGGCATATTATACACTCAGCACTTGATCTGCCGTCACTGTAGTAAAACAAGCAACAAATGCCCTGGAAGGAGGGTGTACTGTACTGCCCTAAACCCACTGATTACATTTATTTGTTCCCACAAGCATTTGGCAGCACAAGGACAAGGCTGGTAACTCCCACTGCCAAGTAGTCAGAAAAAGGAAAAGGGTTCTCAAAGCTCCAAATTAGATAACTATTCAATGCATAAAACAGGCAACTGTATTTCTGAACTAAATCACAACTTTTTGATCATACCATCTGTTCAAGAGATGCTCATTTAACGACTCCCAACTTAGCACAGTAGAAGAAAAACAAGCAAGATGGAAATGAAAGCAGGAACTGTTCTAAGCTGAAGACAAAGCCCTAAGGCATCCCAAAGAAGGAATATTTAAGTTTCTTCTGCCCGCCTTTCCCAGAAGGACCCTTGCCCAACCTTGTGCCCCCGGATGCTGGACTACAATTCCCGCCATTCTTGACCGCAGACCATGCACGCTGAGGCTGATGGGAGTTGAAATCCAAACCATCTGAGGGGGCAATTTGAGGAAGATCAACTGGGCACAGCCGGGGGACAAACAGAAATCCGGCAAGCGAAGCCAGTCCCCCCCGCAAGGACATCCTCACTGCTGGAGATGCGTCGCCTGCCGAATGCCTGCGCGCCGCGAAGCTAACAAGGGCAGAAAAGCCCCGCCGGAGGCCCTGGGAGAAGGGGCACCCAGCCCGCCCGCCCGGTCGCTCGCTCACAGATAGGGATGGCAGAGACGATGAACGCGTTGCCGAAGAAGAGCGCCGAGGACTTCGCCGAGAGGTTGCGGCTGAAATCTTGCAGAAGCAGCTCCTCCTCCGACTGCTGCCGAGCGCCGCTGCCGCCCTTGGGAGCCATCGCGACGATCCTCTTCCGCCTCTCGCTCCGCCGGGGCTCAAAGAAAGAACGGGGCTGACCCCGCGCAGCTACCGTACACGCCAGCAAAGCTCGGGAGGCGGGACTTCCGCACCTCAAAGGCCGCTCCTCGACAAGTCCTTCCGGAGTCATCCACCGCTCGTTAGTGGTTTTTTTCTCGCTTTTCTTCTTCAAACGCGAATAATCTTTTTGTCCTCGGAAGCAGATAAACTATTTTTGAAAGAGAAACACCTATCAAGAAAAAACCACGAGGGAAGGGGAATGTCATTTTTTAAAAAAAAAATCATTGACCGGAAAGAGAGCTTTAACAGTCCGTAAAACTTCCGGGTCAGTCGCTCCCGCTGACGTGTCTCGCGCTGCTGCGGGGGGGGGCTCGTTTGTGGCGCTGTGGGGGGCGCGGGGCTGGGCCGTCGGCTGCGCTGGCCTGGCGTGGTCTAGACTAGAGTCCCACCTCTTGGTGGACATCCATTTGGCGTGCAGAGCGGCTTGTTCTTCCTTAGCGATGACTCTGTAGCTTCTCCGGGGACGATGATGCCTTCAGCCTGTTCGTTTCCATTGAAAGGGCTCCTTTACACGAGGCATTTCTTGTGTTGTCATGCATCCTCGCTCATAGGAATGTGTGGGTGCTGTGTGTTGGGTGTTGTACCTGACTCCCCAGGATCCTGACATAATAGAGATACCCATCAGGTTTCTCAGGGCATTCAGGATAGGCATGACTCCTCTAGGCTCCAGATAGGCATGACACGGCCAAACACTAGAATAATCAGCTGTCTCAGGGTATGCATGATAGGCTTAGCTCTCCTAAGCTCTAGCCCATTCAAATGTCTAGTAACTGCCTCAGAGAATTCCCTCAGAAAATGGAAAAAGCTTACCAAAGACGTAATGGGCAAAGATTGCTTAGAAGGTGTAAATTAAAAGATAAAACTTACTGCTAAAATCTGCTTCTGTATATCTGCTTCTGCTTCTTGCTTAATTGCTATGTGATTCTGTAACTCCCCATTGTCGCCATTGTTCTGATTTCTGCCAAAAACTGATTGTATTGTTTCCCATTTACCGAAAACTCACTGTGAAGCTATAAAAATCTCATTCAAACTCCACCCGGTACCACATTCTAACCATGAATGTTGGTCCCTGCAAGAAATCTTGCAGGTAATAAACTCCTCCTTACTTTACCATCCGGTCTCTGGTCTCATCTGTAACACCGCGGGTACAACATTGGGAAAATTTGGGTAAATCCTGTCTGAAAAGCATTCCTCCTGTGTGCCTTTGCATTGTGGGATCAAATCCTGTCTTCCTTCTCAAAACCAAGCTGTCACTGTTTAAAATGGCATTCCCCCACTCCTTTCTCTCACCTTTAGCTGTAGGCTACAGTAGGCCATTTTAGCCCAAATATACATTATAAATAGTCATTGTTGGAATTCAGTTTACAATAATCTTTTGATAGCCCAGAGGGCTTCATGTGCCCTGATCATGCAGAATGTTTAGAGTCGAGATAAGGGTCTGAGCTTATCATGAATAGTTTCTAGTAGCTTGAATTTGCATGTCTGAGCAGACCTGGAGATGGGTTCAAGTTGCTCAACTAGAGTGTTAATGCAGACAATTAGAAATATTGTGATCTCATTGTTACAGTGTGATTGACTGACATTTCTTTATCTGTTCTGTATGTGATGACCTCGGAATCTTATTGTAATCTCTGCATTCTTGCCGTGTACCTATAAATGCCCTGTAGTGGTATTGACGCTTTGCAGCAGAGTTCATCTCTGCCTGCCCGGTAATGCAGCCTGCATTATCGTGAGCCAGCCGTGGGAACCTGGGATAGACAATAAAGACGCGGAGGTTCATAACGATCGATCTTTCCTACGAACCTGAGTTTTATTTCCTCTTCTCAAATTGAGATTTGAGATTCCAGGATTCTGACATGTGCACAACGTCATCATCTTCCCGGCCTTCTTGCAGTCTTTGCAACCACTTCTGTGTATGTGGTTATTTACTTCTCTGTAGAAGTACAAGTGTGCCTTTTACATATTCTCCCTACCCCATCCCCAAGGGTTTGTATTTATTTCCTTTTCTGTATAGCCTATTAACCAAGCATAAGGTGTCTTGTGGTATAGCTACAGTATAGGGAAATTGCAGTAATCCGTAAGACTCTGGTTTGTTCTTGTTTGAAATGTAATAGTGTACATTCTTCTAAAAAAGAAATATATAAAAATTGCTGAAAAACATGGGAGAAGCCCTGGAGGAAGAGGAAATAGTAACAAGGGTCTGCACAGATCGGTTAGTTGTTAGAACCACACAGTAAATACCTCATGCAGAGAAGCCCCAAGGAAACTGTATTGTTAGTTGAAATGGTGGACTAGAACCCAAGGAGCAATTCCTGCATTTCACACTTTAGTATATTGCAGAAGCACCTGATGGTTCTGTAACGGACCATATAGAACAGAGAAATACACCCAAATGTCACATATATAAAAAAGCTAATTTTAATTCTTCAAAACTTACTCATATGCATCTTTGTATTAGTTTAATGGACCAGGCAATCAATTTCAATAGTGCTACAGTTATATGAAGGGGGAAAAGGTTCCTTTAACCTTTTGCAGAGATTTCCAAAGGGGCAGCTTTCTTAGTCTGTTGCAGAAAAAAAATGGCAAACCATCTGGTGGCATGTTAAAGATGAACAGATATAGGGCTCCAATCTCTTTTTTTAGACATTCTTCATTCTCCTTGTTATAACTCCTAGCATTCCCCCAGCCACCTGCAGTTCTAAATATGCATAGGACTGTACCCTCATTATAACATAATCTTTTGTAGACTGGTCAACTTCATCAGGTATATGAAGTCTTTCCTACAATAGCAATGTACATGCACTGCATGGTTGAGTAGGGGGATGGAGGGAGGGTAAGCTCCCTGTGTAAAGTGCAAGGGAAGCTTGGCTGGCTCCCTCTTTCCTTGTTTGTTACCTTTCTGGCAGGAGGTAAGGATAATCGTATTTAAGCAAGTCTTTGGCATGTAAACTGGTCTATTGGGTTGGGTTCTGTTTTATTTTTGTTGCATTGTTTTTAAAACATCTGCTTTGCTTGCTGTATCTTAAAAGAGTGGTTTATATTGTTAGCCACCTTGAGCACCATTTTCTTGGTGAAATGGCAGGGATAAGTCAAATAAATTATATAGTGAGGACTTTTTTTAACTCTTAGAAAGCAGTGTACTGGCACACATCTCAGGGACCATACAAAAACTTAGAATGCCCTTCCATGATTGAAGAGTGCTCCACACTCAGAAAGGAGTGTCTGAAATCTGACACACACATGTGCACATGTTCAGCTGATACAGAAAGAACCACATCTGCTTTCTCTCCGAGGTCAGAAGATCAACCTTGGGGAGGGAAATCCAGAGTCGAGGATGTGTTTTATCCTGAGCCTCCTTTAGCCTCTTTTCCTCTTCTTCCAAAGTATCTTCCCTTGATGGGCTGAAAAGCCCTTCAACAAAAAGAAAGGAGATCAAAAGAAAGAGAGAAAAAGGTAATCACCACTCCTTCCAGCTTCAGCTTAGCAGTGCACAGAAATCTCAGAAGTCTTGAGTGCAATGTCTTCCAAGGAGTAAAGGTGTTGTCTATAGGATTGCATCCAAATGGATTTCTAGACTTGCTTGAACTTAGGAAAAGATTTGCTATCTGAAGTGTATTATTCTTGCTTATCAATAATTAGGAAAAATTAGAGGGAAAATTCACCCAAGAATGCTTCATTGACATGCTCTAAGTGAATGGACATCTTGAATTATTGAGATTTCTTGATGTCTTGTATTTTTAAAAATATAGGATGTTTCACTCCGCCCTATGGAACAGGCAATGTGTGCCTTCTCATATGCTACTGCTTTCAAGTGATTCTTATTCTTTTGTTATCTAGTTATAAATGGGAGACTGAAACAAATGCATTAGAGTTCAAATGACACTGGGTTGATCTGACCGGGAAAGGAAGATAGAGAGTCTGCAATGACTTAAAGATATGTTGCAGAGACTTTCCATATGTTTCCTTTGATCCCCATGTAAAAAGAAGATTCAGTGTGAACTGTGTATAATGTTTTCATGTGAACTGTGCTGGGAGTAATGTTTGATGTGTTAGAAGTATAGGAAACTGTCTTATATCGCATCAAACAATTTGGCCATCTAATCCTATATTGTCAACACTGATCGGCAGCAGCTCTGCAACTTTTCCAGCAGAAATATTTCCAACTCTATCTAGAAATGTTGGTATTCTGCTCATGCACTGGCCAGCCAATTGTCCAGAAAAAATGTACAAGAAATGTTTCCCTATCTACTTTCTCTATACCATGCATAAGTCTTTCCAGCTCTGTTACATCTTCCTTTACTTTCCTTTTCCCTAAGCTAATCAATTCCCAGTATTGGACATATTCCTTATGTCCAAACTGGTAAATTACTATAAAATGACACATAATTCAAGCAAGTAAGTGCAGTGCATGTGTTGCCAACTATCATGCTGTAACTCCAGCAATAAACTTAAATTCATAAGTCAATGATTAGCTTCACTTCTGGCAAGTCACCCTGCATCAAAGCTACATTAAGCAAACAGTATATTAAACCCAAGCACTACAGGTCTGGATAAGTGTATTAGAGTGACTTATAATGCAACAAGAAGATTGTGTGAAGCTATTTTTTATTAATTGTTTACCGACTGAGTTGGATTTTGGAGTGGCAAATACCAATTTAGAAGGATGAAATGGAATCCCTTTTGGCTATGTTTGTAACTACAAAATTCAGTTCTGTAATTTAGCTTAAGACATGAGAATCATCAGACATTTGTGCGGAACATGTTGCTTCCAGAGAAATCATGGGGAAAGCGAGCTTAATTAACAACTGATGAGTCATTGCCTTGCTCATAGTCTTCACCACTCAGTTCTGAACTATCCCTTGGCACTTTGCAAAGCAAGTACCACCTATTCCAGAAGACAAGAATTTATTTTGTCTGATAGATGTAATGGACATTCTTGGTAAAGGAAAAATAAATTCCAGCCCCGGTTATTTACATGTGGCCATCT